ACACACACACACACACACACACACACACACACAATATACCAAGATAAACATCTTCCCAGGAAGGAAGCTTGGAAGGGCAACCCAGTGAGTATTAACATAGTAAGGCCAATGCTTACGGTCAGTGAGAGCTCCAGTGGCGTAGCACTGAAGGGGTTGGTGTGGGATTGGGGAAGCTCAGGTTCAGATTCTCCCTCAGCCATGGGTAACTTTGGGCCAATTCTCCCTCTCTGTCCACCTACCAGACAGGGTTCTTGCTGGGATAAAACCACGGGTGACCTGAACTCCCAGATATGAATCTAATGAAGGAAGAGGAGGGGTATCAAAACCACAGAAAACTCCAACAACTAGACAGAGCAATGCATTCCCTCTATCTAGCACCTGATGAAGATCATATATTAGTATTTGTGTCAGACCTGCAGACTGTAAACATCCATCCAGATAAACTATTTTGGTCCAGAGTTCCCTGGAGTTGGACTGCTATTATGTGGGGTTGTGTTTAGTTTTAACATGAATGAAAAGTGTTAAGGAGCCCCAAATTCTCTTTATGCCACCTTTGTTACAAACATTCAGTGATGAAACCCAGATTATCTCATCAGGATGGGTTCTTTTTGCTCAACACTTTCTTAGAGACCTTCAGAAGGGCTGCTTGCTGCTCTTGGGAAAATGGGAGATTTAGTTATGTCAGCATATCTTGTTAGGGTATCTCATTGAAAGGTTTTATTTAGACAGCTGTGAGCTTTCAAGGTATTGTTTTCTTTCTTGCAACAGAGGAGAATATATGTAACTCAGACTGAATTCTTGGGTTCTTGCTACTCTGACCTTGGCGTTTTGTTTGTGGGGCGGGGGCTGCAACATGTCAATACCAGACTAACTCTGATGACCTGATGATATTTTATGGTATTTTTTCCGCCCTCCCTTCCTTCTCTTTACCAGAATCATTCTGGAGGCTGAACCAACCTCCCCAAGTTTTATTTATACTGAGTTCTATAGTACAACCCAGCTTGCAAAAAATGTGCCTGCTGACATAAAGTTGCATTACAATATGATCCAATTGGGTGGATCATGATGTAGAAGTCATCATTATTTTAAGACAACATCTGAAACAAAGGTCCAGGAATTACACAGGAACACCTGCCATTAGGCAGAGCCAGTCATTCTCCTTCAGCAAAAGAGAGACCTACATGTCTATGACTCTTCATGCTAGCGAAACCGGACATGAGGCTAGTAACTTGACTGCAAGAGAACTGCTGTCTTTCACCGCCCAAAATGGAGCTTGCTGTAATGATGGCTCAGCATGGAAAATCAGATGTGAAGGGGAATGTTTCTTTCTCACTCTGAAATACACTTTTTAGGAAGAACTTCCCTTACAGTATGTTCTCTTATGAGCAGCAATCTGTACAGCCACCGTTTCTCTAGTCTGTCAAAAAAAGATAAAGTGTCACAGTCTTCCAAAACCAATGCATGAGATGAAATACCTGTGCTGCCCTGTGCTGGGCGCTGCTACCCAAATTTCTCCAAAATAAATGGAAGAAGAGAGAAGTTAAACATCACTGCCTTGGGAGCCCTTGCTAAGATACACTTTCCTGTGTCCAGTGAGGCTTTTTCCTAATGGCAGTGATTAAGAGGGCTAATGACGAGAGTGCCTTTCCAGCAGAGGCACTGCCATGATACCTGCAGGAGATCATGTAAGGCCAGCAGAAGAGAACCCAAAAGTTGTGCACTGTTGAACAATGATGGGGGGAAGCTACTTGTCTAGCTCCCTTATTCCTAATTGCTGATAATGGGCCTGCCATATTTCTGCTCTAAAGGGTTATTGGAAAGTCTTTAGAGTGTTATAGCACAGGATACAAAGGCCAGGGCCAGAGACAAAAGGTCTCTTTGTAATGATCTAGGATTCAGGCCATAAGCTTTGGTTCTTCTGCCTGTGAATAGAGGCACAAAGGTTTTGGCACTGTCAGCTGTTTACAAGACATAAAAATGTGCCCAATTAAGTTCCTTGAGATGCCTTTCTGGATGCTCCAGGATCAACCAGGTTTCTGCTCATAAAAGTTTCACTGTCATTTGCGCTTCCCTGCGATGCTGAAGGTTGCCTGCCACTTCTCCTATTGGTTTCCATTGGGCAGTGAAGGCAATACTTTTTGGGGGGGGGGGTGTTAAATGATCTGTGTGGTTTTATTTTTTATCACACACTATGAGTTAGAGTTATTTATCTGGTTTTTATTTTGTAAACCACTGGGAGTCATTTGAGCTGAGCAGCACAGAAA